TACTGCTGTTTCTACTTCTGCTGCTGCTGCTACTACTACTACTTCTACAACTACTACAACTACTACTACTACTACTACTACTACTACTACTACTACCACTACTACTACTACTACTACTACTACTACTACTACTACTACTACTACCACTACTACTAGTATAATACTACTACTACTACTACTACTACTACTGCTATCACAACAACTACTGCTACTACTACTACTACTACTGCTATCACAACTACTTCTACTTCTACCTCTACTGCTTCTACTACTACCACTGGAACCACTTCTACTTCTTTATTTTTACTACTACCACTACTACTACTACTACTACTTCTACTACTACTACTACTACTACTACTACTACTACTACTACTACTACTACTACTACTATCACAACTACTACTACTACTACTACTACTACTACTACCACCTCTACTGCTACTACTGCTGTCACTGGAACCACTACTATTACTTTTACTTCTACTACTACTACTACTTCTACTACTACTACTACTACTACGACTACTACTACTACTACTACTACTACTACTACTATAATAGCACCACTACTACTTCTTCGTCTGCCAAAACTACCACTACTACTACTGATACTACCACTATATCTGCTTTTACTACTACTGCTACTACTACTACTACTACTACTACTACTACTACTACTACTACTACTATAATAGCACCACTAGTACTTCTTCGTCTGCAAAAACTACCACTACTACTACTGATACTACCACTATATCTGCTTTTACTACTACTGCTACTACTAGTACTACTACTACTACTACTACTACTACTACTACTACTACTACAACTACTAGCAGTACTACTACTACTACTGTAAATACCATTACTGTTTTACTACTACTGCTACCACTGCTACTACAACTACAACTGCGACTACTACTGTAACTACTACTACGACGCTACCTCTACTGCTACTACTACTACTACTACCAATGGAACCACTACTACTACTATTACTTTTACTACTACCACTACAACTACTACTACTAGTTCTACTAATACTACCACTACTACTATAACTTATACTACTACTATTACTTTTACTACTACCACTACAACTACTACTACTACTAGTACTACTAATACTACTACTGCTATCACAACTGCTACTACTACTACTACTAATATTACTACTATAATAGCACCACTACTACTTCTTCGTCTGCAAAAACTACCACTACTACTGCTGCTACTACCACTACATCTGCTTTTACTAACACTGCTGGTACTACTGCTGCTACTACTACTACTACTACTACTACTACTACTACTACTACTACTACTATCAATACTACTCCTACTACTACTACTACTACTGCTACCACTGCTACTACAACTACATCTTCCACTACTACTACTGCTATCACTACTACTACTACTACAACTAGGACTACTACTACTTCTACTACAACTACTACTACTACTACTACTACGCTACCACTTTTACTACTTCTACTATTACAACCACTGCTATTACTGTTAGCACTGCTACCACCAACACCACAGTAACTACTATTACGACTTCTGCTATTATTACTACTGCTACTACTACTACCACTAGTTCTAGTACTACTTTCACCACCACTACTGCTGTTTCTACTTCTGCTGCTGCTACTACTACTACTACTACAACTACTACAACTACTACTACTACTACTACTACTACTACAACTACTACTGCTACTACTACTGCCACTACTATTACTGCTACCACTGCTACTACAACAACTACCACAACTACCGCAACTACTACTATTACTACTACTACTACTACTTCAACTTCTACTACTACTACTACTACTACTACTGCTGCTACTACAACTACAACTACTACTACTACTACTGCTACTACTATAACTGCTTGTACTTCTACTGCTACCACTGCTACTTCAACTACTACTACTACTACTACTGCTACTACAACTACAACTAAAACTACCACAAGTACTATTACTATTACTGCTTGTAAAACTACTACTAGTACTACTACTGCCACTACTATTACTGTTTGCACTACTACTGCTACCACTGCTACTACAACTACAACTACTACTAATACTACTACTGCTACAACTACTACTGCTACTACTAGTACTGCTTGTATTACTACTGCTTCTACTGCTAACACTGCTACTACCTCTACTGCTTCTACTACAACTACTACTACTACTACTAACTACTAGTACTACTACTACTACTGCTGCTACTGCTACTACTACTGCCACTACTACTACTGCTACTACTACTACTACTACTGCTACTATTACCACCGCTACTGTTACTGTTAGCACCGCTCCTACTGCTACTACTTCTACTACTACTGCTGCTGCTGCTAATACTACTGCTACTACTACTACTACTACCTAACTAAAATAGCACCACTACTTCTACTACTATCACTACTACTAGCATTACTACTACTTCTATTACTTCTACCACTACTACAACTGCTACTACTACACCAAGGATTACTACTACTGGTACTACTAATACTTCTGCTACTACTACAACTACTACTACGGCTACTACTACAACAACGATTACTACTACGGTTACTACTAATGTTGCTACTGCTACTATTACTGCTTTTACTACTACTGCTACTGCTACTACTACTACTACTGCTAGTACAACTTCTACTACTGCTACTACGACTCCTTCTCCTGCTACTACTTTTTTATCCACTACTATCACCATCACAGCTCCTGTTTCTACTCCTTTCACTACTACTACTGCTACGCATACTACTGATACTACTGCTACTCATACTACTACTATGACTACTCCTACTACAACTACAACTACCACTATAACTACAACTACAAGTACTACTACTGCTATTACTACTGCTGATGTTACTACTACTGCTACTACTACAACTCTTGCTTGCTAATACAACTACAACTACTGCTACTACCACTCGTTCTACTGCTACTACTACTACTACTACTACAACTACTACTGCTGCTGCTTCTACTACTACTACTATAACAACTGCAACTCCTAGTACTACTACTACTACTACTATTACTAGTTCTCTTTCCACTGCTACTACAACTACTTCTTCTACTACCACCAATACTACTACGACTACTACTTCTACTACTACTACTACTACTCTCGTGAAGACCCGGGGCAGGATAGGTCTTCAGCAACCCATGCCTGTCGTAAAAGGCGACTATGCTTGTCGTAGGAGGCAACTAACGGGACTTGGTGGTTAGACTCACTGGCTTGGTTGAAGCAAAGCATGTCATCCATCCAAATTGCGTGGATCGATGCTCATGTTGTGAGTCACTGGATTGTCTGGTCCTGACGCGAATTTATACAGACCGCCGTCATATAACTAAAATATTGCTGCGTGCGGCGTTAAAGAACAAATGAACAAACTACTACTACTATTACTACTACCACCACCACTATTACTGTGTCGTTCCTCCTTTGTCCAATAAGAATTCCCATTATACATAAGGAAAGCTGATAACAAGTTTCCCACTGAAGTGGATCTTTAAGAATTTCAAATTACTCTTTAATAAATGCATCAAGTGATGCACACAGGAAGGTAAATATGTTATCAAATAATGGATAGTGTTATCAATGCGATAAACCTATCCGATAAACTTGGTGTCACGATCGAAACATGTGCAAATGAGGTCACCAAGCAGGAACTATTTCAATCGCCATACATCGATTCAAAGTCTCCTCTCTCAGTAAAAGTATTGACTAACTTTCCCAAATACATTTATATACGGGTTTACCGATGTGGGGTAAACTATCTTTAACACTTTTAGATGGGACTACACAAACACCTTATTCACACGTGGTTTCAAATGTTACTTCATTGAGCAAAATTACGTCTAAAACATCGATTATTTTAAGCATGACATCATGCAATGAACGTGTGTTTCAGGTACTAAATATTAGGAATAAGAAATATGTAGTATGCTACCAAAAGCTCACATAGTACAACTTTTTTCCCTAATATATGATAGTTGTCATAAGGAAAGACATTGAGCTAATAATGTCTATTTTTCGTACTTTCACGAACGATGGAGACGGAAATACAAATACGAGATGGGTCCATACAGGGGAATATTAAGCTGGACACAAACCTAGTCGGTAGGCGCTCCCTCTCAGAGGAAGAACCTCCGGTATCTTACAGGCGACATAGATATATTAATAGAGTATTGTGAACTAACAAGTACCTCATGAGTACCACTACTCATTGGTGATTCATTATCTAACGTTAAATATCATCTTATATAAATACATTTAGATATATTTTTCTGTCGTATATCCACATTTTACCGCTAAAGTATGCAAATTCGGAGTGATCACGGATTTAAAAATATACAACATAGTGTTTTATTGGATGCCAAGAAAGCAATGACATGATTACATAAAGGAGAGAAAGACCAATAGAGCCTGCCTTTGACCAATACAAACTGTCCGATACAAATACAGCCTCAGTCTCAAACCAATGCAGCCTGTCTGAGGCCACAACAACCTGTCTCAGACCAATACAACCTACCTCATACCGACACAGTCTGCCACAGAGCAGTACAGTCTACCTTAGACCAATATAGTCTGCCTCCTACAAAAACAGCCTGCATCAGTCAAGTACTGTCTCTCTCCGAAGAACACAACCCGCATCGTGCACATATGACAAGACCTTCGCCCTCGACAAAGTCCTATTTGAAAACATCCATATTACTAGTTTCTATAATATTATATTAACCTTGAATACTTACTTGTATTCTTGTCTTGACATTTAACCCGGTACACGTTTCAGCATTATTCTCTGACTTACACATAGAAATATAATTCATGAACAAAAGATATGTGACCAAATTGAAATCCTCGTCACGTAGTGATAGACACAAATAGTTCTTTTTGGAAAGTTGTGCTAGACGCAAGAAGGGATCCTCGTCAAGTAGTGATATACACAGCTAGGTCTCCTAGTCATGTGGAGATAAGTACCTCACGGATGATCTCGGACGAGGAACACGCGCGCCCTCCTTCAGCTCAGTGTATGGCTGGGAGTCTCGTACTGATTTGTCCTTATCGTTCAGTTCCCCTTGGAAGCAGTCTGCTAAAACAGGAATGTCTGGAGCCTTCTCTCTGCCGGCGCCGTCTTGGTTCTGGTCTGGCAGCTGGCTCATGATATCTTCCTCTCCAACATCCTCGTAGTGATGTAGATCCATGGACTCACGGATGGAGGTGTCTGCCTGCTTCAGATTGGAGTCGAGTGTATTGTCCTCGGCTTCATTCCTGTAACATAATGTCCCCTTTTTGTGATTATCAAGAAACACTATCAAAGTTAGAATGGGCTATCGCTGCAAAACAAAATGATAACATATGGTTATTTACAGGTTTCATGAATTTGACATGTTTATAACATCCACAAATGACGGGGTCGGTCGGGTAGCCTAGTGGTTAAGGCGTTCGCTCGTAACGCCGAAGACCCGTGTTCGATTCCCGACATGGGTACAATGTGTGAAGCCCATTTCTGGTGTCCACCGCCGTGATATTGCTGGAATATTGCTATAAGCGGCGTAAAACCATACTCACTCAATCACTCACAAATGACAATTTTCAACATTTCTGTCAGTCTTTCTTTCATAGGGTTCTGTCGGTATAAAGAGGCATAATATATATACATGGAAACATTTTGTAAGATACTTCTTTTTGTGTTTGACAGCAGTGTAACAAATTTAATAATATTAGGGTACCTGTAATAATAAGCTTGCAGGTATTTTTCTCTAAGGTGTAAATACACTGGACATACAAGTAAGAAATGAAATTCATCTTCTACTGAGTTTAAACTACATAGATTACAGATTCTTTCTTCACGAGGAATGTTTACATAGCGCCCTGTTTCTATTAAAAGGTCGTGAGAAGAACATCTAAAACGTGAAAGTGCCGTTCGAATTTTTTCAACATTAACTTTTGATAAATAATCTTCCATAATTATTTCTGATTTAAACATTTTGTAATAAAAGCACTTGTTTGTTAGAGTCAATGATGCAGTCCAAGATTGTAAATAAAGATTGTACATTTCTGTCACATAACATAATGTGAGAGAAAAGCCAAAGTGATGCAGGTCATGAGGGTTTATAATGCTGTCAAACTAATAATCGGATTCTACCACGACTATAGGACACAACTCTGATGAGTGTCAAATGTCATCATTGAAGACCAGGTCGAACACTGCTTCATTGCACTAATGTTGTTGATGTCTACTAACCGTTTCAGACACTTTCGTTTACGACAGCAGATGCAGCAGGTGGTACATGCAGCCAGGATGATAAAGACAACCAGTCCGACCGATGTCACGATAACTGTGTTTAAGGCACCTGTCGTTTGTTCGTCTGAAGGGGGAAACAATGCCTATAGTTAGATATTTCATGGTTGCTTTCGAAGCAAACCGGGGAGACATATGAAAGTTACTGGAGCATGTTATATGTATTATATACAGATTAAAATGAAAATGCAGCGAAGAGGGTAATCCTGGCACAGTCAGGCTGGTTGGGCTCATCATCAGCTAAAGACCCTTGCCCCCTCAACATGCAGCCCAGACAGCGAATTGGACTTCTCTCAGGAAGTGCTGCCTAGTCGAACTCACCCAGAACATTTCGGACACTAAGAAAAATCCCCCAAACTGCAGCCTTCTACCAAACCTAAGGCACAATGGGGAGTCGGACAACTTTGTACTCAGGATGTCCCTCATCCGAGATCATCTATAAGGTACCTATTTCGAAAGCGAGGTCCGCATATTTGCCATGTTTTTCCTTAATCACATCAGTGTCAAAAAGGACAGAAAATTAAGATTGGGAGGTATGAACCTAAGGCACCGACAACTCTCTTGAGAGTCGACAACTTGGTACTTGAGATGCAAGCGTGAAATTTCGAAAGCGAGGTCCGCATATTTGCAATGTTTTTCCTTAATCTTGTCAATCACATTTGTGTCAAAAGGGACAGAAAAATCAATGATATAAATGATTTCATTGGATTTATCAAAAAGGACAAGATCGGGTTTGCTGGCCTGGATAGGTTCGAGGCTGTATACGGGCCTTATTCCAAAGAATTTTATCGTTTTCCATGACACACACAACATATTCTCGGTGGTACCATGTGTGTCAAGACTATGAGCATGGTTAAGACGGTAATACAATGAGCCACTCCATCATGTCGCTTAAGATACTGTGTTTGTGCCAAAGCTGGGCATCCCTCGACAATGTGTTTGACTGTCACATTAAATTCATTGCATAATCTACATTTCCTATTTACATTTTGATGCAAAACCACACATTGACAGTTTAGAGCATTATGTTTTACTTTTAAGGCCAGCCCACTTCATCCAAGCGAAAGACTCCTCAAAGTAGCTGATCCTCTCAACACACTGCAGATAAAGTCGATGCAGTGGTCGTTCAGAAAGTCTGATGATCAGTTAGTCAGATTATTAAAATTAAAGTGGCATACGGTTTACGATCTGACAAATATGGAGGGATTACGAATATCTTGCACATATTATTAAATTTATATTGAATTAACAAATTATACTTATATATCTGTTTCCTACGACTGAAAATGGATACCTGCGTCACAAGATCCAGTAGGGCAGTCAGTCGTTTGGCAGTTGGTTGTGCAGTTGTAGCCACATCTAGATCCAGTGGTATTGCATCCTTGTACACAGGAACCGGAGTTTTCATCACAAACACCTCCAGGACATAGATCACACGTCGTGTTGCAATTATCCCTGCTATTGCATCCATTCCTACAGGATCCGTTACAGGTTTTATTGAGGCATTTCCCACAGCGTTCAACACAAACACCTGCGTGGTTACACATTTGATGTTTGCAGTTAGAGTTGCATCTCCTTGAACACTTCGGGCCGTACCAGCCATCTACACAACCGTGAACACACTCGCCAGTCTGGCTGTGGCACTCAGGGGTACATGAGTCTCCCTCAGGACATCGTTCATCAGTAGACAGGGAGGGATCAGCTCGGCAGGTGTCACTGCATGCTTCAGTACAGTTGTCTCCATAGAATCCTTGTCTGCATCCCTGTTGGCAGCCACTCTCACATCCACCGACACAGTGCTCACACGAGGATCTACAGTCCAGTCCAGTATATGGAGACTGACACTCCTCACATGTTCCCGTGATCCTGTTGCAGGACTTACATCTGCTGGAACATGTCTTATTATTCTCTGGCTTTGACGTTTTGACTTTACAGCCTGCTCCATAGTATGAGTCGCTGCAACTAGAGAAACAAGTTCGACCCATCTGGCAATACTCTCCATCACATCCACCTGGGCATCTGGTACAGTCTTCCTTGGTACTGTAACATGGCCTCTGGCAGTTTGGGCCTTGGAATCCTGGCATACAGCCATCAGTACATGTCTCAATACCTTTGCCGGGGATCAGCTTACATGAGTGGTACCTGCACCTTATGCTGCAAACATCCATGCACTTTGGACCGAAATATCCGGTAGAGCATCGTGTGCTGCATCGGCCTGTCTTTTCATCACACTCGACACAATGCTGATTTTCCTTACAATTAGCACCTGGGAATGAAAACGTAATTCGTATCATAATATTATAGAATATATATGATGTGCTCATTAGTAAAGTTACCAATTATTTGGGAAAGAAATTACAATTGTTACGAACAGTCCACTGCGGGAAGGCTGCCGGAACCACCATTACACAGCAACAGCTTTACTGTCATGACGGGTTTACACTGGGGAATAAGGCTCTTTTAGGGAATGAAATCAAGACGACATTGTTCATTTAATATGACATTTCTCAATCCTCATGAAATACAGGAGCGTAGTTATAGTTTTATGGTTCTCAAAACACCGGAGGCCCAGTTCACATAGTTTAGGATTGTACACCGAAGGATAGATAGTATCAACAAAGGCAATTTCTGACCACCTCGAAATGACATTTTGATACTTTGACATCGATATTGCCTAACATAGTACTGATGTAGTACTTCAAATTGATCCTTTATGTGCTTAACCAGAATTAAGTATACTCCCATAGCTTGTACCTCTGTTATTACCAGGGTGCAGAATCTTAGTATGCTTATTGCTTCCGAGCACTAATCACTTAACTTTAAATAAGACCATAAGCATACGGAGCAAGTTGAATATCATCCTGTAGTAAAAAACACTTCACAGAATACATACTCCTTGTTCTTCCCGGCAATCAAATTTTATGCCTACACCTAGTTTATCCCAATGAATATATTTCACACCCAACAACTCTTTTAAAAGTTCGATCCTTTTTATGTTAGTTTATAATACACATATTTGATTTGTGGTGTTATTGTTTGTTCATGTAACAATGTCATTGTCACACGGTTGATCAACTCGCATAAGGCGCCGCAATACGTTGTGCAGAGTTGCGTCCCTCTGGCGTGCCCCAAACCTATCATCATGGGTGCGATCTCAGATTCCCCCGATTATCTTTCTGAGTTTAAACATACCCGTGCTCATGGGTTTCGCCAAAGTGGCCAATGTCTAAGATCTGCATCCTTTCGAGTTTTCCTCCCGCATCAAGCTGTGATATAACTGCAATACTGTTCAAAGCGATGTTAAACCTATCTCAGCCACTCTCCCATTATGCCACTGACATACGAATGCTTATACTTATGTTATAACCCACCAGCTCATTCACTCACTCTTACCTTGTGTGTAACTGACCATACATGCCATTGCAAAGATCTGAAGAAGCGGCATGGTGTTCCTGAAAATGTATTTAAAATGCTGATAAATGTTCAGTGCGGTGTGCAGATACATGTAGGCAATATGAATAAAAGGTTTAAGTAACAACCATATTGATATACAAACAAAACTCACTCTTAATGACAATAATAATAAAGCCCGACTCATTCAGACGAGCTTCACATGCACAGTGTGGTTGTTTGAAGGCCTGCTACTTGTTTAACAAATATTAGTTTCGCTGTTAAGGTCTAACGTTTGTTTCGCCTTCCAGGGTTAAACAAGATATATTACTCACATCCATTAAGGAAACAGGGACGATTGCAAACGCATAATAAAGAGAAATGTCAAGGCAACCTGTACCTTGTTTCTAATCGTATTCCTGTTGTCTGTTGCTCCTATTTCCAGTTTCAAAAGGAAATTAAAAACAATACTATTTCCTTCAGATGCAGTGATTTGGGGTTCTATTTATCAAAACGCATCACAATAGTTTTCCATATTGATATGTTTTTACGGGAGGAAATCCAAAATGCCACTAACATTCTCACAATTAGATGCTCGAAGTGTCATAACCACTGTTCAAAAGTCAAAATGTCAAAATGGCATGAAATACTTGTAATAATAGTACGAAATAATGTTCTCAGCTGCATATAATGCTGTTCAAAGTGGTGTGAAATACTTTTCAAAGGGTCATGGAATACTAAAACTGTATTCAAAGTGGTATGAATACCAGTTAAATGGTCATAAAACTTTTTAAAGTGGTATGAAATATTAGTGGTATGAAATATTAGTTTAATGGTCATAAAACTGTGTTCAAAGTGGTATGAAATACTAGTTAAATGGTCATAAAAGTGTGTTCAAAGTGGTATGAAATACTAGTTATATGATCATAAAACAGTCTTCAAAGTGTAATGAAATACTAGTTAAAAGGTCATTAAACTTTTCAATGTAGTATGAAATATTAGTGAAATGGTCATAAAACTGTGTTCAAAGTGGTATGAAATACTAGTTAAATGGTCATAAAAGTGTGTTCAAAGTGGTATGAAATACTAGTTATATGAGCATAAAACAGTCTTTTCAAAGGGTCATGAAATACTAAATTTGTGTTCAAAGTGGTGTGAAATACTAGTTAAAAGGTCATTAAACTTTTCAAAGTAGTATGAAATATTAGTGAAATGGTCATAAAACAGTGTTCAAAGTGGTATGAAATATTAGTTAAATGGTCATAAAACAGTGTTCAAAGTGCAATGGAATACTAGTTAAATGGTCATAAAACAGTGTTCAAAGTGGTGTGAAATATTAGTTAAATGGTCATAAAACAGTGTTCAAAGTGCAATGAAATACTAGTTAAATGGTCATAAAACAGTGTTCAAAGTGGTGTGAAATACCAGTTAAATGGTCATAAAACAGTGTTCAAAGTGGAATGAAATAATAGTTAAATGGTCATAAAACAGTGTTCAAAGTGGTATGAAATACTAGTTAAATCGTCATAAAACTGTGTTCAAAGTGGTATGAAATACCAGTTAAATGGTCATAAAACTGTGTTCAAAGTGGTGTGAAATACTAGCTAAATGGTAATAAAACAGTGTTCAAAGTATAATGAAATATTAGTTAAATGGTCATAAAACAGTTTTCAAAGTCGTATGAAATACTAGTTAAATGGTCATAAAACTGTGTTTAAAGTGGTATGAAATATTAGTTAAATGGTCATAAAACTTTTCAAAGTGTAATGAAATGCTAGTTAAATCGTCATAAAACAGTGTTCAAAATGCAATGAATTATTATTTAAATGGTCATAAAACTTTTCAAAGTGTAATGAAATACCAGTTTAATCGTCATAAAACTGTGTTAAAAGTGGTATGAAATACTAGTTAAATGGTCATAAAATAATGTTCAAGGTGGCATTAAATACTGATCTTAGTGTGACTTAAATGCACACACACTCACTACATGTATCATTCGTTTGGCACGTGCCATTAGGTCAAAGATCAAGGTCTCGAGATATAAAAATAATCTCATTTGAAAATGTTTAGTCGTTCCCTAAAAGGTTTTCGTTTCCTCCTTTCGATGAAACAAAACATATGTTTTGAAGCTTTGGCCTCAACCACAACTCAAAATGTATAAATATGATACTTGATAGCTGTTACATCTTGCAAGTTGGTCCCGCAAGCATAAGTGTAATTGGAGTGATTGAGATTATAGTTCGTATGGCCTTCTTTTCTGAAAAAATTACGATCCCACCCCATTCTATTCTACACCATATCTCACCATTCCATACCAACAATACCATACCATTCCATAACCATACAATACAATCTCATGTCACACAATGCCTTACCAATCCCATATTTTGACTTGTACCATATGTTCCCGTGCTTTTTTACGTTAACAATTGTGTTGCCTTCGCATGTGCTTGTGACGGGTGCCACAGGTGGGGCAAATTATATCACACTCACCTTTTCGCGAACACCTGGTATCATTACTATTTGTTAGTGATTCATAAACACATGCATATGATAAAGTCGGAATCGTACAATCGACGCTGCTTTTAGTAAAGATTTATTGTTGCCATGGAATGGGTTTTGTTGCTTTATTTTTATAAAACCTGCTCCAATGACGTTGTTTAATGCCTACTTCCATGTTTTGATCACACATGAGTACGTCACGCTTATGTGATGTAGTGATCAGGGTTTTGGACGAAAACGTCTGGTGTAACCTGATCACTGACATGAGATGTAAATAAGTTCAATCCTATTCATATGCATAAAAAAACAATTCAGAAAGGCGGGGAGCACAATTTGTGCTCATGGGAATGCCAACTTCTTGCCTAAATGTATTAAAATAACTTCACATACTGTTTTGTCAGCAGACTTCAGATGATATTTGCATTTTGTGTGACATATTTTCCTGAACCTTTGAAGATGAAGATACAACTCTATTGATGGTCACCATTTATCAAGGAATGAAATATTGTTCTTTGAAGTTTGTCGTGTGGGATACATGGTAGTGTACAAAACTGAATAATGATATCAACCCTTTTCCGAGATTGCAAAATTTCAAGGCCTCTCTCTCTCTTTTTCTAAGTCTCTCTACATATATCGTCAACTCTCTCTCTTTTTGTGTGGGATGTCAATGTATTGAATCCAGTACTGAAGAGCAATGGACATGTCTTCTAGTTTTAGAGTCAAGTGGATGACAGCTTGCTTGGACACAATGTGTTTATTCTGTTGGCCCATCTTTGGCATAGGCTTCGACAGCATCCATTATGATCTTAAAGTTGTGATCACAATTGGTAGCAGGAAGTTCACGATATTTTTGTCAATATTTGAATAAGTGACGAAAGATTTTACTGTCAGCACTACTGAAGACACCAGTGATAGAATGACCAATAGGTTGGTAGCAGTTTGATTATTCTTGTAAGTCACAAGTATTAAGTATTCTGTATTCGTGACAACAGTGTTTTTAGCGCTCATAAGCATAAGAATTTGGATTTCCATCGAATGAATTTTTCTGTTAACTCTGGAGGACTTTTGTGTAGTTAAAAAATTAGATGCAGTGGCGTCAATACAGAAGTTTGATCAAATTGGTGCTTCTTGATTTTGAAATTATGGAAGGGTGAAACTTGAGATACATTTGTTTCTGAAGCCTATATTAAAATCCATGCACTTGTTGGCAAATTTCAAATGTATGAACGCCTTGATCGTTATTATCAGTTGATTCATTTGATATTCGTTGGTCCCCGAATCGTTGTTTTAAAAGGTTTTGAATAATTTCATTTTGGAGCCTCTGGAAGATGGTGAAAGCAAACACATTATAATATACTGCAGTTATAGGTTTGTCTGGCCTACAGTAGTAATACATGCCCCATTCACAACTGGGTTGCCTTTCACTTAAACCTAAAAAAGCCATACATAAAAGTACTGTGAAATAGATAGTTCTAGGAAAAGATACAAAACTACCTGTTAAACGATATAATTTGTTGAGTCCTCTTTGTTAACATGACTTTAACTGCTTGCTGGGTGTGTACACATATTAGTATTCTTTGAGAAAATGCCGTCAGAACAAAACTGCCATTCTGTTGATGTTGACTGGAGTGCAGCATTTTATACTTTGTTCATCTAATAAACAGGGGAACATGAAATATTAGTTATTTCTGTCAAAGCAAGCATTTTAGTAGATACTGTTGTTGTTTCTCTGTTTGAACTGTGCACCGTGTGATGTCCCAGTAATACTATTGCGGATGTAATCATACCTCATACCTCAAACAGTTGCAGCTCATTTGCAAATATGTGTAATCAGAAAAAACTATTTATAAAATGTGTAATATGTTTACATAACTGTTTGTCGTAAAGTTTTTATGAAACTTGTTTTATTATTTTTATCTCTTAACACAAACTATGAATATGTACTTTTGAATGCAATCTTCCTTACGTGACATCGGGAGAAGAAAGAACATTGTGTGGATTGACGGCAAATATAAGTTTGCAGCAGTGGTGTGTGGGTTGTGCATTTGTTCACTAAATGAACAATATGTTGTGAAGTTTGCGCTGAAATGTCACACCACTGTGATCAGTAGAAGTGGAATGAATGTAATGACATAAAGGGGACAATCCCGAATGATGGTCCAAATTCAGAAATATTTAGTTTAGTCAAGAAATGAAGACTTGGGGATGGTTTGGATGGCGTGGTATGCCTGGGTGGGGAAAGGCTTGTGATAGCAGCATAACAACCCTTCATCTTTGTTGATATGTTAAGTGATGGACAGCTTTGAATGATAAGCTTTCCTTGGGTAATCCACATACATTTGGTATATTTGTTGTGACATGTCGACCCTTTCTACACATGTGATTTTCAGCCTGAAGGCGCTATTGTGAACTAATATTAACTGTCGACGTCGTTTCAATACTGAATATGAATGAACTCGCAGGTGCCACATGACAGATGCGTGTTTGTTTATGTGGTTGGGATTTTCTTCATGCTAACTCATCAGTACATATCTTTCACGACGTTCGGATAAG